TAGCACACACTTGCACTCTTGCTCGTATTCTCAGCCATTTCATACCGCGCGCTCTGCTGCTGCTGCTGCTCCGCGCGAGATATGAAAACACATGCCCGGCCGGTGGAGCGTCTGTGGCGCGAGCCCGCGGAGCTGGGTGTGATCCAGCTGCAGACTAATGCTCCCGTGTTTTAATCTGGCAATGATGAAATTTATCAGTTCTTTGCTAAAATAAATTCTGGTTTTGTAGGTATGTTACTTATATATACTTGTATAACAAAAACATCTCTCTCTCTCTCTATATATATATATATATACACACACACACAAAATATATTTGTCGCATATATATAGTAAAACATCGGGTGCTTGTTGACATATTTGTGTAACTTGCACTTACAGAACAACATAAGTTCCTGGGGTGTCACTCTTCACATGTAAACATCCTCTTACAGTATACTGTAAATTTAATAATATGAATATCGTAGCGTTTCACCTCTACCTGGACCTATATAACATATTTTTTAGATATTAATAACACATGAAAGTTGTTTACATAATTTATAAAAGTCTAGTTAAACTCCCACAGACTAAAATACAGATAATAAACCACCTGCATAAATATTTGTTGTGGGTTAAAGTTCAACGAGGTCATCGCCTCAGACGCACGGGGAGCCATGCTTCACTGTCCTGCGGTAGTCACAATGTTGGATCGTCGACATTAAAGAAGGTAAACAACAATAACAACAGCAACAATAAAAAAAAAAATACAATAAAAAGTGGCGGAATCAAATCTGGTTTCATCATGTTTATGCTCTCGATGCGGTTTCTTTAACCTGCTCCTGACACTTTCTGCCCCAACCTTAGACTCTCAGTCAGCACACGCAAACTGTTTTCCATGCACGGTGCAACGTGCACGCCTCAACATGCACAGCCCCATAGCAACAGCGCCAAGTAGCGAATAGAAAGCTCAAATACTGTCTCTAGGACCCGGGTTAAAGCGCTGCAGGAAGCACCGTGAACACGTCACGACTTGAGTGGCTGTTGCTGAGTAGTTGAGCATACTTTCGCTACACCCCTCCCTCTCCACCCATGCCGTCTGTTTATTTTGTCAGTCCCGTCGTCTGTGTTGTAGTCATTATAAAACACTGTTTACAACCCCAAATCTAGGTTGCATATTTTTTTAGACTGTTATTACGCTCTAATGACGATGACCCCTGCTTTCTAATCGATTGCCATCTTTTTAAAAAAATATAATTTCAAAAAGTAAAACATAAAACAAAGATAAAGACTGGTATAGACAATGCATTTGTTTTTCTGTTCCTTTTCATGCCCTGAGGTAACAGAGTGTAAACAAGTCCTGCAGAGTCTAAATTGTCTGCTTGTGTGGATCAGCTTTTGGAGATGTTGGCTGAATATGTTTTTGCCTTCTTTTTTTTAAAACTATTTCTGTGAAACCAACATAATAACAACACAATTGTGTTTCACAGTTCACACAAAATAAAGCAAGAAACAGCCCGGTAAAGTAATATTATGTTTATATTTATTTATTAGAAATATGACAAGTGAAAGAACCCAGCCTTTACGGGGTTATCGATGCAGAAAATATGGTTCTTTGTTGTGCTGCCACACAGATTTAAAAGAAGCCTTTGTGCTTGAAATGTAATAAACAATCAGCAAGGACAGCAAAATAAGGTAAATGAAATTAAAGGGACAGTGGTTGTTATCTCTTGAAAATAAACTCTTGACTTTTGTTTTACAGGCAAAAAGAGTCTGGGGAATTTTCCAGCCACTATACCACGCTCCCCTCTTTCTGTCCTATGCCCTTGGTCAAGACTCCACACCCAGTTCCTCCCGACAAACACACACGCACACACACACACACACACACACACCAGCTGTCGGAATCCCTCTGAACTGAGACCAACTGATACAGCTGTTAACAAGTGCTGGTGATACAGTAAATCCCTTTTTTGTATCCTGCCTTGCTCTTTCTCATGGTGTGTTTTAACTGTTTTCTTGGTCACCCTGACAACAAACAGAGAGACCTTCTTGTAAAGTGTAAAATGCATTAACCAAATCCTAAATTAGTACACAATAATCAGTGGTTCTTAGACAAACATACACTGGTTATACTTTTTAAGGCAAATTTTGCCAACAGATATATATATTTTTTAGCTTTGTCATTAAGCTTCGAGGCCTCTTTAGTTACTTCATTCATCTCTCTTGTCAATGCTCATCTCAGCTGAGACCAATAATGCAATTCTCTATTGTGTGCTGATGCCCATTAATCAACTAATTTGCAGTTTTCCCCTCAGGAACTTTCCCCATCTATCATTTCATTTATAAATACAGGACAGCCAGCATTCACGCGAAGCAGCAAACTATCTCAGAGCTCTTAAAGTTTGAAATGATTTCAGCACTCAATCACAGCTCGTCCAGATTCATCAGCTATGCATCACATCTGCCTGGTGAGATTTGTGTGTTCGGAGCTTTGGGATGACTTCGCAGACAATCTTGTTAGCGTGTTTAGCCCTGCTTACCTCTGAGCCTCACCCATCTGTACCCCGTCTTCAAGCCTCATTGTGCCGCACGACTGTAAAACCCGTAAAAGCTCTTCTCCACTCACCTCTTCTCTCCTTCAAACCCATTCAGGTTTTTGGACTTCTTTTATTAATTGTTCTATTTGTTATTTCTGAGGTGGAAGTAACAGGGTGGTAAATTAAATAAAATTAAAATTTCACGATTATATCGAAATTCTTTACAGCACGGTAGAGCTGTTATTATCTACATGCATTATTCTGGATTTCTTCATTCATATGTCAAAGATAAAAGAGAAATTGAAAAAAAGGGATAAAAACAATAACAACAACAAAAAGCTAAAGCGAAAGACTGTAGCGCATTAAACTTTAAACGCCTGTCTGAACAGGTGGGTATTCTGGCAGCGAAACACACACTCCAGGCTCTTACACCATCCTTTTCTTCCTCTCATTCTAGTTTTTCCCATATCAGCACCAGAAACAGAGATTTTAGAGCAATTGGTGCTCCCTTCTGCCTCCTCTGTGTTCAGCTGCTCTGTGCTGCCAGAGGACTTTAATATTTACTTTGTCCAGTAGAGTAAAAGCTTCTGGTGCTGACATTCAGTATTTAAATGTGGAAATTTAAGGAATGATTAAATACATTTTAAGAGAAAGGTTTAAATCCAAAAAGCACAAACAATAAATATTGTCTCTGCAGTATAAATGTAGCTGCTTAAAAGATAATACAGCTGTTCAATAAATACTTTGTGCTCTTGCTAAATAGTCAGTTTGTGATTGTGTTAAAGTGTCTCTTAACAGATGGGGCTGAGCTGACCCAATCTAGCGCACCCGAAATAGAAGGACAAATGTGGTATAACATGATATACAGTACACTGTACGTCTCTGTGCTCATCTGTGGCATTCCCTTCTAAGTTGGATCTGTGGAACTAATTCCCTGAAACTTACACTTGATACGTCTTGTCCGAGCAGGCAGCTCTCCCACATGTAAGGGAAACTGGTAAGCTGGAGTCCACAGTCAGCACATAACTCTTTGGAATAAAAGGACAGATGTAATATAGGCTGAGAGACACAGACATAATAATCAGCTAAAGTAAAGAAATGATCCACAGGCTTGGTAACAGAGGCTTTAACAAACGTCGTATCTAATTCAGGGTCAGGTTTAAGTACACGAGTCCAAAAATGGAGCGCATGTCAAAGGCATGAAACCTAACTTCTGGCTGCGTGTTTCTTTTGGGGCAATGTTCGTAGCTCAGTAAACTATTAATCCACTTGCGAGAGGCTCGCTGTTACCTAACTCGCAGGGGCTGATGTATCTGAATGACTCACCACAAGCACCTGATCCTCGCCCTGCTGTATGCTATCTGTCGGCCTTTGTCACTAATCCCATCACTTGACTTCAGACAGGAGCCAGCTTTTTGAATAAATGCTTTTTACACACGCACAACTACTAGATGGATTTGAGACTGACCTTAAATTCATTTAGTGGCTCCTGTTTTTACTTGTCAAAAGGCAGCGTACAGAAATAATCCTTTTACATTTAGGTTTCTACTCGACTGGGTGCTTTCTGTTCCTGCTTTAACTTTGCTGTTTGCCTTTATTCTAGTGCAACAGTTTCTACAATACTTAACCTTTTAAAAATTTTTTAAATAACTGTCCTGTGAAGTTTTGTAATACTGCCCTGTTATGACAAGCAGAATGCTATGAGAGACAGGGAGGGACATGAAGTAAAGGTCAAATAACATAACACAAAACCCTGTTTCATTACAAATCGTTAAATAACTCTTAAGTTTTTTTCCCCACCAACTTAACCCCAACTAGTTAAAAATATCAAGTTACGGTTTACGAAATTAGAAAGTAAACGTGAGCAAGTAGAATGTATTTCTATAAATCCCATTTACACAGCTTTCGGTGCTGTACAAAACATGTACATTTATATACATACATACTTATATGAATATAAAAAAATAGAAGCAGCAAGCAGAGACATGCTGACGACAACAACAAACAGAAAAGCAGCAGACAAACAGAGTTACAGGCCACAGAATGAGGGTGGATTTAGAGTCTAGACCTAAAAATCAGAGTTGGGGTATGTGTAGTAAAATATGGGAAGCTTAATTAGAAACAAATATGTCAAAGTGGGTGACTAATCTGGTTTTATGGGTTTATTTGGCCTCGTCCTAGGATTCTGTTTGGGTTTGATGCTATGCTGCCACCCAGTGGTCATACATATTGAGCACAACCACAAATGAAGACTTTATTTTGACAGGTCAGTTTAGAATTCAATTAGCCATCTGTGAGTCTCCTACAGCTTCTTATTAAAAGCATAACACCAACAGCTAATTACTGATGACCAGGATCTTTTTGTTTAAAGGGTGGAAAACATTTGATCATCAGTATTTCACAAAACTTAGTTTTTCAGACAGGAAGCTAGGTCAATAATTACATGTTTAAAAAAATAAAAGGAATGAAAGGAGGCGGGCCTTACAGCACTGTTTTATTGATCAGTTTCCATGACCACAGATGAACAATACAGTGAACTTGTAGGCAATGACAAAGCAGATTAAAAGTTTGTCTGTGGTGTCTGCTGTCTCAGTCATAATAATATAGTTACAAGCGACTGAGCGTGAAGAAACAATAAGGTACACAGGCATATTTACAAGCTGTCCTTCGGTGACACGGCCCTGATGCTCGCACATACGTGCTTCAGCTACAACAACTTAGGACAATAGATCTTTATTTCTACACCGCTTTACACCGTTTTTCTTTTCATCCATTTCATTTTACCAAAAATTTACAGTACAAATCCAGTAATCGCATGAAGGTCCAAAAGGAATGGTAGAATTTTCTAATCTAATAATTATAAAAACAACCCGGCCTCTAAAACTCATAAGCTTGGGGGGGACGACTGCAATCAGCTGCATGAATAGTGTGGACAAATGTGGTTTCAGATGACAACAGTTTGATGCAAGAGAAAGGAAAAGGAAAAGAGGGTGGACAAGAACATCCGTCTCCTTTTGTTTTTGTTTTTCCATCATTTCCAACTTTCTAGCATTTCACTTAATGAAAAAAGGCAGAGGCGGAAGTAGAGCGCAAGAGAAAAGTGGCCAGAAAGGACAGCGTTAAACCAGGACACCCCCCCCCCCCCTTTACTGTGCTCTCTAGTCAACTCCAAATTGTCCATGTCCTACACTCTTCGGGACCAATCCAAACTCTGCCACCGTTTATTTTGAAAGCTTCTTCATCCTCTGGTCTAGTGCAGCAAAGTTCTCCTCTATAGCCACAAGATTTTCCTTCATCGTTTGCTGAACCTGGTAAAAAAGAAGAAGAATTAGAGAGAATGCTAACTCCAGAAGTGCGTTAGAGAGACTGATGGGACGGGGAGAGAGGATTTAAGGAAAAAGCTAAATAATCGGTAAGAGAAAAGAAATTAAGGTGCTTAAATATGGAAACCTTTGCCATAATTCAAACAAAATACCAATCAGGTGCAGCCCTGTTAAACATCCATATACCTGAGTCATGTAGGAAAAGTGCTACTGATGATAAGGTTGGGCGATATGTAAACATTTTCCAATAGAGGATACATGATATATTCGCGCAGGTGACTTTTTGATGGGTGGAGCAATGTAATATTTTACATTCTTTTCTTGTTTGGTTCAGAATTAATATAGCTACTTGTTGGATTAGTCATTTATTTATATATTTATATGTGTTCGCTGGAAGAGACATTTTGATTTTTAACTTACTTTTTGTTTAATTTTGGATTTGTTGCTTGGTTTAGTGTGTAAGACAAACACTGGAACGGCCTGTAAACACGGTTAGAGTGGAAAAAAAAAGAAAGAAGACAGTTTCTCTTTGTTTCCCTCCCCACCGTTTTGGGTTTTTGTTTTGTTTTGTTTTTTAATCTAAATAAAATGTTTTTGTTTTTTCTGAACATGGGCTACCATCTTTCTTTCTGTTATGAGTTTGAGTAAATGAATCGCTGCATTTGTTTGCAGCTGGAAGAGGGAGCTGTTAAAACACTGCTATTCTTTCTTCTATTGACTGCTTCTCTTAACTTCAACCAACATTATTAGCAAACTCACTCATGGGCAAATAAATACATAACATTGCTCTTGTAAAAATGATCGGTGAAAGACTCAGCCTATCGTCGATTGGTCGATATATTCGTCCGATCGCCCAACCTTCACTGATGACAATTACTATTAGACAATATTGTTTCAGAAGGCTACACAAAAACCAAAAACAAACATTTCAGTGTTGATAAGAAACTGAAATGTCAGACTTAACAAGCCTCTGTGACACCAAAACATTGTAAAGAAAAACCAAAAACATTTTACTGGATTGAGGCACTGGTTGGTCCCTCCTGCCAGAAGCCTTGAACTGTGAAAGCACAGACTGATTATTGCCTGAGAGGCTTTACAGAGCTTCTGTCCTCGTAATGGGAAGCTGTAGTTTGTTAGATTGTTACTTCTAGCTGTGAAAAGCTGCCTCGGCTGTGCACTCTGAAGGGTATTAGAGGACACTTTTTCCACTCATTCACTACATATACAAAGAGGTTACGGCCAAGTGTTTGAACATGTCAAGTTTTTCTTTCACACCAAATCTAACATTTTCATCTGCTATTGTGAAAAAGTGGTTCACAAAGTTTCTACCAATTACTGCAGAAACGTTCGTTTCTGTAAAACGACAGCAACTGTATAACTGCTGGCGTCTTTATGTCGAACTGTGACACATTTCTGCTGGCCAGTGCCAAGTTTACCATGGCTGCAGTGGCTCATTCAAGCTGACCGTTTAAGTGGATAAAACTGCTGAGTTCTACTCTCCCTGCAGCGCTTAGAAATTATTTATGTTGCTACAATTGTTCAACGGGTCTATGAACTTCTCACCTGTGTTAGCAGGGTATTATTGTCCTTCAGGGAGTTGTTGATCATCTGCTGAGTGGTATCCAGGTGTGTCAGCAGCTGGCCAAACTGCATGGCTGTGAGATAGAGGGTTGAAGTGAAAAGGGAGAATTAGATAAAGGACAGGAAGTAAGTAATCCTTAAATTCAAAACATCTGCTAAAAAATGAAATGTCTTTGCTGTCAGCTGAAGGAGAAGGGCAAAGGATTTGATGCAAACCTAATCTAACAGTGATGAACGGCAGCTTGAAAGATTAAACTAAGTATTTTCTTTTTCAAGTTTTCCTTTATTGGTAAAGAAAGATCAGAAGAAAAAAGGTGCAGCTAAGCTCTGTCGAGCAAAGAAGCTGCAATGTGTGACAGATCGGTGCAGAGAGAGGCTGGATGATAAATGACCTCCTTCAGCTCTCAGAACTGAATTATCAATATAATCTATTAATGCCAAGGTTCCGCTTTCATGTGCTAAATAATAAAAAGATGATAATGTGATATATATAATATCATGCATCTCTGTTACCCCAAGGGGGTGTTTAGCAGTATTGCAAGATTTAGTTTAATTCCGTTACCATTTTGAGTCTCCCCTCTCAGTGATTTTTTGCCCTTTGTTATAATAGAACGGCACGGTTTAGGCTAATTCCATTATCTATTTGAATCCCGTTTTCCCTTAGTTTCATCTTTTGTCTCGTTCTCAGACGTTTCCACAGTGGATGCAAATGTTTCTCTCCAACACAGATGCTGCCTGGAACGTGATCTGGGTTCACACCCTGTTATGTTCTGTGGCAACACCCAACATATTTTCAGCCTTTAACGCCACATCCCATCCCCGCTAACCTACATACATTCTCTCCTTGAACTCTCATGGGTGTCATTTCAAGGTTCGTCTCCCCTTACATAAAGGAAGAGCACATAAATTATCCATGTTTCCATTGCGATCCTTACCGGGGGGAAATTTGCCCCAAGAGCAACATTATTACAATATTGGCCAATTACTGGCACACACTAACCAAGTACATTCATCTAATGTTAGAGTTTTAATAAGCTCCTACACCCCTGAAACACCTCAGCACCTTCTGCATTTCATGGTTTTGTGTGAATGGACGGAGCAGTTTCAGTTCCTGCGTGTTACCTTGCTCATGGAGCTCCTTCACAGCAACGAGCCTCTGCACCACCTGAGGTATGGAAGTGGACATGGCATCCCACTTCTGCACCACATCATACAACTTTGACACCTGGCAGGTAAAAAAAAAAAAACACATTTAATGATTTTTATAGAAGCTGTCAGCCAGCAGAATTTTTCTGTACACACACATTTAAGCCTCGGGTGACTTTGTGGATATTTTGTCCTGCTTAAATTGTTGCCTATATTTTAAACTTTCCTTCACATTATTCTGATGCCAGAACCAGAAATGTTGCTCACATGCTTGAGATTTGAACTTTATTTCTTTTGGTCAGTTTACACACTGATAAACCAAAGCGTGCCGACACTTCAAAGGGCCTCTGAAGCAAGTTCAGGTGTTATTTTATGTTTAAAACCCAGTTGTGCTGGACTCTAATGACCTCTAATGAACAAATAAAAATGAAAGATTTTCTAGTTAGTTTTTTTTGTCTTACACACTTTTCAGATGGTCAAATACAATATTTTTCTAAAACACCAATATACCTAACACAAACCAACCATTTATACCGTTATTCATAGAAATTATATAATTAGCATAGCCTGCCCTCTGCTGGTCAATTACATATACAACACGTGAATGCATGAAATCTGTTAGTCAGATCCTGAATCGATTCATTATTTAGAAAGAACAAACTAAAAACAAACTATTCAATTACACTTTGGTTTGGCTCTTATGAATGTGCGCAGTTTGAAATATCAGCATTAAGCTGAAATTGTATAAACAATATTCTTCCCACTTGTTACCAGACTTTTGTAAATATACACTAGAAGTTTATTGGAATGAGAACCTTAACACTGATGAAAACATTTCAGCTCTAATGATTGCAAATGTCTGTCCGGAAGAAACATTTACTGAAACAGCCTCAAAGTAGACAAATCACATGCGGTCAGTTTGAGCTTGGAAGTTGTAAAGAAACAGATCTGCAATTATTACAGCCTTTATTCGATACTGAAGGTGGTCAGGGGTCACTAACCTTGTTTTGTGTTTCAGCGTCTTCAATCGCTGCCTTGTGTTTAGCAATCTCATTCATCTTCCCGAGGACACTCTGCAGGAGAGAAAAAACACATTATACGTATACGGTAATCTATTCTAATTTTGCAAGAGGTACCACTCGGGGGCAACTAGTGTTTCACTGTAAACTATGTCACAAGTAACCCAACATCATGGTCACTGTGGCATATTTTAAAACTAAAGATATTTATCAGCTGAGCAACAAAGTAGCCAAACATTAAGGCACAAACTATAAAAGCACCGACTCAAAGCTGGACCGACCTAAGCTTTGTGTAATACCCTCCATTCTGAACGTTCTCCTTAGGTTTCAGGTATATGTTGTTCTTAAAAAGCAAGCAGTGACCTAAAGACATCCTCAGAGTGACTTTTTGGGCCACAAAGGAACTGCAGCTGGGCCGCAGTTTGAAATTACTTACAAGTATGTACAGTTACATATTTATATTAATTTAATTACATAAAAACTGAATGAAAACTGGTGCTAGGCGGTGGTTAGTTTGTGATATTACTCTTTATTCTGGGCAAAAACTGAATGCTCTTGTATTGAAGTTTGTGTCCCAGTGGCAGGTGGGCTACACTGGCCTTAACAATATGCATATGACCGGATTAGCATTAGGAATTTAAAGCCAACCATTTGTTGTTATTTTTTTAAATACAATTTGCAAAGAAATACATAATTTTCTGTTATATTTTGATTAGACTGAAGAATTTAAATTCCGATTGGATTTTATAGTTTTTAAGTGGGCTGCAGCACTCTTGATTTTGGGAATAACTGCTATAGAGAAACAGGATGAGTTCTTGCAGAAAAGCAAAATGTTTTTTAGTTTTTGTTAGATACAAAAGCTACAGTCCAGATGCCCCTCCAACTGACACATCCAGGCCTGCCTCTGTACTAAACGCAATGGATGAAACTCAAAAGAGAGCAAAATATATACAAAAAACAAAACCCACTACCCTTTCAAACCAAAATGCATCTAGGAAAAAAAACTGATGTACGAATGTAATCAAGATGCAACTGTCTTGTCACTTCATATGGAAAGGCTGCCTCCTCCTAACACTGTGCTGTAATGCTGTACGGGGAGTAATCACCTGCAGTCTTGCCTCCACTTGATCCAGAGTAGCAGAGTCCAGAGCACTGACCCTTGCCTGCAGGAGCTCTATGGTGTCCTGATACAAAGGAGGACAAGTTTATATATAAGATCAAGCACAAAACTTTAGGTTTTTGTTCCTCCTACTGGCACAGCAGCAATAAACAAACTTGAAGGAACTGATGTCACCTTTGAAGTATGACCCAGTTCTCTGGCTGCACATCAGATACCCAGAGTTTTGAATAGAGAGACAAACTCCACAGTGTGTTCTTACCATCAAACTGGTTCCTTGAGCACCAGCACTCAGAGGTCCCTATAAAGTAAATGTGAAGAGGGAAAAATGCATTTTAACAAGAAACAACAAAGCCACCGCTTGAATTTACATAAATCAAATGGAATATTTTATTTTTTATTTTACTTGAAAACAGAAGCAAGAAAATTCTGTTGTGAGTGTGACATAGAGACAGGCACACAGAATTAGTGCGAATGAGAGCAAAGACCCATGAAGACAATGTGTGTGTGTGTGTGAGAGAGAGAGAGAGACAGCGGGACTGTGTGTGTACCTGCTTGTCTGATCCTGAGCCAACAGCCATCTCCAGCTCAGCTAGACGCTTCTCCACTTCCGCCATCTACAGAGACGGAACAGGGCAACACATGGCTGGCAGTGACAACAAGCATCCCACAAGAGACACACAAACACCCACATGTATGCCTTCCTCCTTTTGTCCTGCTTATTGCCATCTAGTATTCTGACATTCCACTCAGAAGAACAGAAACAAAGCACGTCGAGGAGACCATACAGCCTCATTTTATGTGTGCATTCATCACAGACATTTATCCACCTCTCTTTCCTCTTTACCTTGGCAGACTCATTAAATTTCTCCTGCTCTGGTCTGCTGTGTAACTCGTAGAGTACCACTCCATCTGGGCCCTTAGTTAATGCTGTCGGCTTGCCGTCTCCTGCAGAGCTGCCACGGCTGCCCTTAGCGGCTTCCAGCTGGGTGAGCAGACGCCTATGAGAAGGGAAGAAAGACACAAAGGGATAATATGTTCACCATTGTTACCAACCCCATGTGCTGCCATGAGTGTGGTCCTCCCTCCCTCTCAATCCTTTAAGTCAGTGTTATTAACTGCAAGTGAAGGTTTGTGAAGGTGTTTTCCTCATTTTTTCTTTACTTTCTCTCATTTGTGTTTTCCCCTTTTAAGCCCACGGCTTCCTTTGCTTGTGCTCAGTTGGGCGCTGACATTTTTCAAAGATTTCTGTGTTCTTTTAGTTAATTTCCTTCCCTCAATCATCTGTCACTTAGTTGTGTTGTGCTCCTGGTAGCCATGCCCTTTGAGATCAGCAACATTTATGTGTACAATTAATCTTATTTCCTTACTACTCCATCTCATTAATAAATAATTTCCCCCAGGGATTAAAATAATTTCCCCCAGGGATTAATAAAGTATTCTGATTCTGATTATATCTGGTTAAAGCTTGGAAAATCCAATTCCCATATCAATCACTCTTATTCTCTCCATTTCTCCAGAGCACCCTCTTTCTTCCCAAGCATTTCAGTTTCTCAGATCACAGTGCTGGCACGATCTAACAGACTGTGGTGTTAAGTTTCAGGTTCCAGGTGCTTGCCCTCGTTTGTGCTTCATTGTCTTGTTAACTCCAGCCAACTCACCTGGCCAGTGCGCCATCTGGGTCAGCCAGGTTGATGTGTGCCTGTGGTCCAAGCAGTGAGTCGAGATGGGCTGAAACCAGCTGCTGTTTGAGCTGGGCTGCCTGCTGGGCCAGCACCACTGGAGTGAGGCGCTCCTCTGCATTACTTTCCTTTGTGGCAGCCTGGACGCAGAGAGGCACATACATCTTTGATGCCAGGTAATACAATCTGTGTGTAGTGCAGTATCAAACACTAATATTTTTGCATTATTATTTGATCATATATTTTTGGATTAGCTTTTGTAAATAAAGGCATATGGATCTACTTCTAGACCATATTGCTCGCTAACCAATCAAAAATACAGAATTGCAAATAAAACTTAATGTGAACAATACAGAAACATTTACTGCAATGAGCATGAACAGTTGTCTGTCTCCATTATCAAGTTTGCTGACGACACTGTTGTTGTGGGCCTGATCTCAGACAACATCGAGAAGGCCTACCTGGAGGAGATTATGAACCTGGAGACCTGGTGACAGGAAATTAACCCCCTCCTAAATGTCAGCAAGACTAAGGAGATGATCGTGGACTTCACTACAAAGCAGGCGAGGAATTACAAGCCCCTCATCATCAGTGGCACGCCAGTGGAGAGAGTGGACAGTTTCCGGTATCTGGGTGTCCACATCACTCAGGACCTGTCATGGTCCTGCCACATTAACACTCTGGTTAAGAAAGCCCACCAGTGTCTCTTCTTCCTCAGAAGACTTAGAGACTTCCACCTGCTGCTGAGGGTGCTCAAGAACTTTTACTCCAGCACCATCGAGAGCGTCTTGATGGGAAACATCTGCACCTAGTTTGGGAACAGCACCAAGCAGGACAGACAAGATCTGCAAAGAGTGGTGCGCTCAGCCGAACGCATCATTCGATCAGAGCTTCCTGACCTGCTGTCCATCTACACCAAGCGGTGCAAGACCAAAGCCAGGAAAATTATGATGGACTAGGGCTGGGCTATATCATACCGGTAATACCGGTGTAATTTTGGGCAACGATAGGAAAATGACATATCGCGATAGAATATGGGTAAAACGCGCATGCGCAGTGCCTATGTTTACATATACACATGGCGGCGACGCAGAATGAGTAGAGCGAAAGTGGATCGTTAAATGAAACAGATGAACCAGAACTGTTTTGTAGAAATGCTGCAGCTTCACTGGTGTGGAACTGGTTTAGCTTTCGTCCGTCAGATACACAACAAAGCACTATTTTTGGTAGAGCATGCTGGCGGGCCGTCGTTATTACCGTGTTGTTTGGAAAATACGGCGCACTTAAAATCAAACCTTTGATTTTTCTGAAAATCGACAGGTCCCCTTATAATCCCGTGTGCCTTATGTGTGAGTTCTGGTTGTGTTTACTGACCTCGAAACGATTTTATGTGCACGGCGCTGGAAAATCTGTCAAATGTTTTAGTACGACTTTGCTAAGCTACGAAGCTGCACCGCTTGATGGATTGTCGGATCTATCGTAGGCAGGAGCCTGGCGGAGTGATACGTACTGCGCTTCAACATAATATTACCGTATTGTGTGTGTATAACCTCTTTTTAAGTTTTGTGGATATTATACATGGTTATGCTGAGGATATGTCGGCCAATTTCCACTGGAAATGCCTTTTGGTTAAACTGTCAGCGAGGAATTTGCACTGTTACATTTTTATATAACTTTAATGCACATAAAAAAAACAGCTGCTTGTTTAAGTGAAAATATATTGATGGGGTTTTTTGCACTAATAAAGTTGTGGAGTTGTAAAGTGTTTTGTCTAGTGTCAGTTATATCGTTATCGCAAATTTTCAAATGTATATTGTGATAAATATTTTTGGTCATATCGCCCTGCTCTATGATGGACCTCTCCCTTCCCAACAATGAACTCTTCTCACTGCCGAGGTCTGGGAAGCGCTTCCGCTCCCTTAACGCCAAATCAGAGAGAATGAGGAGTACTTCTTCGCCCCAGGCTATTTGGGCCCTGAACCAGATGTAGGACTGGACTCACTCACATCACCACACGCACTCTAGTTTTTAATTCATAATTCTTTACATAAACTGTTATTTGCACATTTTACTCTAAATTTCTAAGTTAAAATCATTTTTTTTGTGGTAATCTGTAAATCTTACTGTCAATTCTTACTGTCATTTAGTGGTCGGCACAGCAATAAGAATTTCACCACGTCATACTGTGTATGGTTGTGTGTGTGACAAATAAAATTTAAATTTGAGGGTGTGAGCCATTTCTTGCACGATGACAGGAAGGAAACTTTGTCAATCAACACTGTTGGTTGTAATCTAGCAAATTTTCACAGTGGACTTTAGCTTTAGTGCATTGTTACGCCCCTCTGCAGCCCCTAATCTCCTCAGTGTGTTCAGCTGGTGCTAATTGGCCACACCTAGTCAGGTGTTGATAAAAGCATACCTGAGGCAGGCTTTCAGGAAGCTCACTAGTCTTTGCCTTGGTGGCACCAGCCAGTTTAGCCAACCTGCTATGCCATTTTAAGATGAACCCTCTTCTCACTAACACTCAGGTATTCATCAGATTAGGCTTTGGATTAGATTTGCTGAAATTGTTCCAACTCAATGGTTGATCTTCCCTTCAATAAATGCAATACTAAATTATCTATGAGCAATGTGGAGGAAGGCTACTAACATTAAAATACAGGTAGAAGAATGATCATCCCTCACACGCTCTTTTGGACGTGTGTACACGTTTGTTGCTTGCAGGTTACCTGGATGGTGTCCACCTCCTGCGTGAGTTCCTGGATCTCATTCACTAGGCGCTGATACTTCTGCTGAGGCGTCTCCTTCACTCCACAGCCCTCTCCAAGCTAAGCCACAGAGCAGAGAAACTGAATGAATATTACTCAATATACAAAAGAGCTGAGAGAAATGATCACACCACTAGCATCACATGCTCTCTGACTTTTATCAGAAATGACAAACACAAGAGTGAACAAAATAAAAAGTCTTTTTATGAGAACAAAGTAATGTTCTTCTGCTGAACAGAATATACTCACAATCTCAAATTCTCCTGACTCATAGCCAACTCTTCTGCTTTTACTGATTCTGTCTGAAAAGTCTGGAAAAAGAAAGGACAAATGTGTTGAGAGAGAAAGTGACAAACACGACATTAAAAGCTGAAACTGATGTTTCTAAGAATGCAAATCTATTTGTTATAGCACAACCTGAAGGAATAAAATATTTTAATTTGTTTTACATGTATTTATTGATTTTTGTTTTCTTTACACTAAAGAAGAAATTTATCTTATACAACAATTAAATACAAATGACAGCAGATGAAAATTTTAAAGACAGGGCAGCCAAAGAAGCACTGAGAATAAATGACAAAGCAAAGGAATGTGTGTCATTTACTTTTCTTTTTTTATTACTTTTGCCAATTTTAGCAATATGTTAACTTTATAGGCTTTAATTCAATGAACCAATTAATAATCTCTTAACTAACTGAAGCCAAAGCAGCTCTTCTTCATTCTGTACCTTAACGAGGTAGATATGTTAGCAACAGACTAAAGTAACACTTTGTTTTTTGTCTACAAATGTGACACGATAATTCACTAATTTCCAGTCAAGTCTGTACATTTTTAATACCAGCCACAAATATATAATTTCATTTTAATAAAGGATAAATACTTTCTTAAAACACATGGATGTTGTAATTTGTAACTCAACTCAGGAGTAAATTGGTGCATTTGACAGACACAGTGGATGTAAAATGTAATAAAGAAACATGTGACCTAATGCA